ATTTTAACCCCTTACCAAGCACAGGGCTCTATTAAGAAAGATAGGAAATCACTTGATTTATTCTCAGACAGCTAATTAGGCTGGTATATAATTAGTCATGAGCATTTTATTCAGTTAGAAATGAGAAAAGCAAGTACATTATCTCATCTGATCCAGGAAGATCTGGATTCAAATCCTGCCAAAAACACTATCTGTGTGACCCTGAGCAAGTCACTTAACTTCTGCCTGCCTTCATTTCCTCATCTGTAAAACGAGGATAACAATAACATCTATGTCGAAGGGTTGTTTTGCAGATGAAATAAGATAATGTATGTAAAGTGCTTTGCCAGCCCTAAAGCCCATGTAAATGTTGGCTATTGTTTTCATCACTATTATAAGGGTATCCACATATACTCTAAAACCCCAAATCTTACTTTTTGCAGAGCAGAAAATGGAGCAAGATGTCCCTAGAACTACTACTAGCAACTGCTACATGCTCAAGTCTGCTTATAGCCTAGAAGATTTAGGCAAATGGATTTATTAATGCCTCCTTTAAATTTCCCTGAGATTTTTCTAAATAGCAAAGAACTTTGACTTGGCTCTGTCTGCAGTTTCCAAAGGGTTCTCTCTTCTCACTCCACTAGAGAAGAAAAGTCAGTCTTGATGCACGAAAGAAGATCTGGAGTCAGGAGACCTACATCCATGTCCTGATAATCTGTGTGACCCTGGACGAGTGATTTCACTCCTCTCGGCCTCAGTTTCCTCCTCTGTAATCAAATCACAAGTGCCTACTATGTACCAGACACTATGCTGAGTGCTGGGTATACAAAGATGGAAACAAAACATTTCCTGTTCTCAAGGAGCTTCCTTTCTAGCCTAAGGAAGAACATGTAGACAGATAAGTAAGGCAAAGGAATTTGGGGGATGAAGATGGGAAACGCAGTGACCTAGACTGTAATGACTGAGCTGGCCTTGATGACTCATCAGGCCCCTTCCAGCTCTTAAACTATGGCCCCGTGAATAACTTGTTTAGTAGTTAAGAAAGCTGCCTTAAATTTGTGCAGAAAACCAGTGACAAAGCCTCCAGGCAGAACCTTTGCCTCCTGCTTCCTAGTGCTTCCCTTAGTGTTTATCTAGGTTACTCTTCAGTGTTCTCAGAATTACAGAAAGAGCCCACTCTAACAGGAGAGTCCTAAGAAATCTCTACATCCTGGTTTGGAATTCCAGGGGGTGGTACAGCCAGAACAGCCAGCATGATCAGGGTGTCTTCTCCTGGTTCTTGTCTCCCAGCCCACATTTCCAGGTGTTCATTAGATGGAAGAACAGAGCCAGATAATTGACTGCTGGCCAAAGGGAGGGAACACCTGCACAGTCTCAGGCACCTTTGAACAGAACAGGAAGACTGATTTTTTTTTTTTTTTTGTCATTCATTCTGACTCTCCTCTGACTAATCACAAAAACCTTACCTAAGTGAAGTGTGGGAAGACCAATAGCCAGGAAATCAAAGAACCTCACTGGAAAGAGCCCTCAGACAACCTTTTTATCAGCTAATTACTCATTTCCCCCCTTACACACCTATACCACATTTATGCATTCTACCTGGTCCTGCCCCAACCAACTATCTTTCTATAAACCCCACCCCCACCCCAGCTCCCAGCACAGTTAACTCAGGGGAGCTAGGTGACTAAGAAATAGCACATGGGGACTGGATCAGAAGAACTGAGTTCACATCCTGCCTCAGATAACTTACTGGCTATGTGACTTTGGACAAGTCAATTAACCTGTTTGTCTCAGTTTCCTCATCTATAAAAATGGGGAAATAATAGCACTTACCTCACAGGGTTGTTGTGAGGATAAAATGAGATAATATATGTAAAGGATTATTTTGCAAACCTTAAAGCACTATAAAAATGCTAGTAGTTACTATTATTATTATTATTATCATTGTCATTATTATTATTAGCCCTGTGACACACCTTAGCTTGCTTCTTCCAGGCTTCTGCTAGTAACTTTAAGGAAATATTTGGCACAACAAAATCTGGCCAGATCAAGAAATTCACCCACTAGATGACTTGAAAATTGAGAAGTATTTTTAAAGGAAGGAAATCCTTGTTGCATTTAAAAGATGGTGTTTAGGGGCAGCTAGGTGGCATAGTGGATAGAGCTCTGACCTTGGAGTCAGAAGGACCTGAGTTCAAAATCTGGCCCCAGACACTTGACACTTACTAGCTGTGTGACCCTGGGCAAGTCACTTAACCCTGATTGCCTCACCAGAAAAAAAAAAAAAGATGGCATTTAAAGAATTGTCAGTAAATTGACTTTTTAGGCCTGGCCTGAAAAGGGAGCAATACCTTGATGGATCTAGGGATTTGAGATCCAGGAACTTGATTCTGTCAATCTGTCCTAATATGATGTGTGACCCTTTTTGATTGATTGATTAAAAGGTATTTGTTGGAATTGCTCAGACAGATGAGACTCTGGCATATTAACTACCTAAGGAAACCCTGATCCTTGGTTTCTGCTTCTCTTACTCATTTATCTTATTTTATTTTGTAGGGTTCTTTTATTTTTCTAAATTATGACCTTCAATCGTTCACAAACGTTGACATTTTAAATTAAATGGAATCAGTCAGTCAGCAAGCATTTATTAAGAGCCAACTAGGAGCACTGTGCTGACCTCTGGGGATGCCATGAAACGGACCCTGCTTAATGGGGGGAAACAAACAACATTCAAACAAATTATGTACAAACACAATATAAACAGGAAAATAAAAAGATACACAATAGGGGGGAGTCACACACAGAATCAGGAAAAGCAAAGAAGGATATAAAATAAGGTGGCATATGAAATTGTGAACTATTACAGTTTGTTTTGGGGGGAAGGAGGAAATGTCTATATTAAACAAGGTAGCTATCCTATTTCATTCTGCATTAAGTTACTCATTTAGAGGAGATAGAGGGAGAAAACACTGGACCTGGAGGCAGAAGAGACCAGGATTTAAATCCTGCCTCTGATATATCCTCATTTTATGACCAATGACAAATTGCTTCTCTCTGAGCCCGTTTCCTCTTCTATACAATGGTGTTAATAATATTTGTAGTACATACCAAAGTTATTAGAAGGAACAAATATGTTTATAAAGCTCCTTGAAATCCTTTAAACTCTACTGTATGTAGCTGGAGGTTATTGTACAAATGTCTTATCTCATCTACTAGTTAGTAAGCTGCTGAAGGGAAACTTTATTTATCTTTTTATCTTCTTCAGCACCTGGCAGGTGGTTTGCACATAAGAAATGTTTAATTATGTTTATTGAATAAATGAATTCACCCAGATGTGATCAGGCACTGAAGAACTAATTCATACTAACCCAATTCATACGCTGATTAGTGAATCTGAATGCCAATTTATTCATTTCCAATGGGAGACCTAGCTGACTGGATAACCAGTATTCTATCAGTTATTTGCATTGGTCACGCCCTCCTGTCGGACAGGTCCACCAGTTATAACACCAAATTGTAGCTTTCTTGATAAGCAAAGAATTGGACCAAAGTCTCTAAAGATATTCTTAGATATTTTTATTATACTTACCTCTGGTTAGGGATATTGTTATCTCTATAACAAATGCTGATCAATAGAATAAATTACCCTGAAAAATTCTTCCCATCTAACTATCTTTTTATCAATTTCCATAGGCTTACAAGGATAGAAAGCACCCTGGATTGAGAGTTTAAAGGGAAGTTAGAGGACATGTAGTCCAACTTCCTCATTTTACAAATGAGGAAACTGAAGCCCTGAGTGACAGTGATTCATCTAAGTTCACACAGATAGTAACTAGAAAAGTTAAGATTTTTATCCAGGTCCCCTAACAGCTCTTTCTACTTCGCCAGGAATGGAGAAGTTGTCTCATTCAAGCTATTCATTTTACAAGTAACGAAACTGAAGTCCAAAGAAACAGACAAGGACACAGACCCCAATAATATAGTCAGGATTTGAACCCAGCTCTCTTACTCCAGATCCAGACCTTTTCAATCATACCATACTTTCTCTAAAACCTTGTCATTGCCTCTACTTCCTCATGAAAGGCATAGTATCACCATCACTGTAACTTTCCAAACCAAAACATTCCTCACTGGCCACCACTCTCTTTACTCCATGATGCCTTTACTTTTCTTTACTTTTGTTTTTTGTACTCATAGGTTTTAATGTCGTGTTTGACACATAGTAAGCATTTAATAATTTTTTTTCATTTATTCACTTTAAAATTACATTTTATTTCAAATTAATTATATTTCAGATCATGAGATTTGCAGCTAAAAGATACATGAGATACCTAGTCCGGGGAGTGGGGGAGAACCTTCAGCCTTGAGGCCACATGTGGCCCTCTAGGTCCTCAAGTGTGGCCCTTTGACTGGAACCGGCAGGTTCCCTAGCCCTGACCTAGTCCAACCCCTTCATTTCACAGAAAAAAAAATGCCAATTTTGAGTAGAGATACTTCCAATGGGATGGCACTTTTAGCCCCTTGTTGAAATTCATCTTTATCCTTCCAGACTTTTTTTTCTACATTATTCCCCATCATGCACTCTGCCCCAGCCAAACTGGACTACTTGCTGTTCCCTGTATGTAATATTCCATCTCCATTCTCCCTGTACAGATTGTCCCCTCTATCTGAAATGTTTTCCTACCTCCACTCAATGCTGAAGTGTCATCTCCTACAGGATGCCTTTCCTGATTGCCCAGTGGTTAACACCCCACCAAATTACTTTATGTTTTATTTATCTGTGTACATATTGAATCCTCTCCCTAAGAATGCAACCTCCATGAAGGCAAAAGCTATTTTTTGTTTTTGTTTTTGTAACCCTAATACCTATCACATAGTAGGACATGTAAGGACACACAATAGGCAATACATTCTTATTAATAATTTTAGGCTGATTTCATATATATTTCCATTTTAAGGGTTACATTATTTTACCTAACCCCCAATGATCTAATAGTTGTTCTTTCACCTATTTATTTCAGGTACAGAGCAGTTGCCTCCTGGAGTAGAGTTCAGGGAATTGGGATTCCCTTGATCACTGCAATTGAAATTGTGTCCATTTGGATTCTGTCGTTTGTCTTGGCTATTCCTGAAGCCATTGGTTTCGTCATGGTGCCCTTTGAGTATAGGGGCAAAGAACACAAAACCTGCATGCTCAACCCCACAAACAAGTTCATGGAGGTACTTAATAACTTTGCATTGTCTAATTGGGAAATGATCTTTTCTAATTAAGCATTAATCGTATATACTTGGGCTGTAGTGAGGTTGAAAATTGTCTAGAGGGGGACAACCAAAATGGTGAAAGACCTTGAAGAGGTACTTAATAACTTAACTTTACATAATCTAATGGAAAACTGTTCTTTTCTAATTAAGCATTGACAATGTAGGCACTTGGGCTGTAGTGATGGCTGAAAAATGTGTAGAGGGGGACAACCAAAATGGTGTAAGATCTTGAAGTTAAGAACATAATGATGGGGGTGGGACCAGAGAAGAGCAGAGAAATCTTACAAGGGATGTGATAGCTATCTTCAGAAGGCTGTCACATGGAAGACAGATTAGGTTTGTTCTGCTTGGCCCCAGAAGGCAAAGCTATGAGCAATGAGTTCAAGTTGCAGAAGGGTAAACTAAAAAATGATGTAAGATGAAACTTCCAATTAGGGCTACACCAAGTTGAATGGGCTATGTTGGGAGGTGAGTCAGTTTCTCTTGCTTGGAAGTCTTCAAGAAAAGGCTGGATGGCTACCTGTTGAGTGTGTTGAATAGAGGATTCTTGGTAGGTAGGAGTAGGACTAGATGGCCAGTGAGGCCCCTAGAACCATAAAATTCTATTATTCTGGAATGCTTGTGTGATTCCAGGATCTGTGGGTAATTCAGCTAGTGCAAATCAGAAACTGTCAACTTGTGAAAAAATGAGTGAAATGGATCTTTTGGCGTTTTTGTAAATAATCAGATTTATTTTATGTCAGTGGATAAAGAGCAGAGAAGTCTTGGGTTCAAATCTCTCCTCTGACCCATACTGTCTGTGTGACCCTAGACAAGTTATTTAACCTCTTGCTCAGGGCAACTCTCGGAGACAGTAAGCTGTTGGGAAGCTCCACACCTGCATTGCTAAAGGGAAGTTTTCTCACCTGGGAGTTCTCTCTATCAATGAAATCATACGTCTAATACTTACCACCTTTGTAAACAAAATGAAATTTATTAACTTTTTTCACTCAGTTATAGTAATACCAAGTAATTTTGCATTGTATTGAGGACCTCCAGGTAAATCTACTAGATGAAAAGATTTACTGCTCACTATTATGTGAGAGGGAGCCTAGACTAGTGGCTAGAGAGCAGAAAAACTTGGGTTCAAATCTAACTTCTGAAATATACCAGCTGTGTGACTCCAGCCAAGTCATTTAACCCTCAACGTCTCAGGCAGCTCTATAAAACTGTAAATTGCAAAACAGCTGTTGGTATTTACTGGTAAGAAAGAGTTTCCTCATCAGGGATCCTCTCTACCAATAAAATCACAAGTCTAGAACCCGTTCCCACTGCCAGGTAGGTGATACAGTGGAATAGAGCACTGAGCCTTAAGTCAGGAAGACCTGAGTTCAAGTCTCACCTGAGACACTTCCTTGGTGTGTGACCTTGGGTAGGTCATTTAATCTCTGTTTGCCTCAGTTTTCTCTATTGTAAAATGACAATAATAATAGCATTTATCTCCCAGGGTTGTTGTGAGGATAAAATGAAATAATATTTATAAAGTGCTTGGCACAGTGTCTGGAATATAGTAGGCACTTAATAAATGTTTGCTTCCTTCCTTCCCCCCTCAAAAAAAATTATAGCTATATCTATAAAAATATTTTATGTTGTTATAACACATAGTATGGCAGTTTACATGGTACAGTGGAAAGAATACTAGGTTTGGAGTTAGAGAATCTGGGTTCAAATCTCAACTCTACTATTTATTTGCCATAATATGGCCTTGGAAAAGCTTTTTAACTTTCCTGGGCTTCAACGTCTGTAAAATGAGGGGGAGGGAAGGGGAGGAGGAGTTTCTAGATGATCTTTCAGATACCTTTCAGTTCTAAACCTATGAACCAATAATCTGTCAGTCCCACAAATAAGGTTACAAATTTCACATGTCCTGGGAAAATCCACATTCTTCCATCACATTCTTTCTTACTAAGTCAGCAAAGTCTACAAGGTTTGTATGTAAAAGAATCTATCCTCCTGTTATGGTCACATGTACATCATAACAACATAACTAAATGAAAACATTTTAGATTTTTTTTAATTCCAAATTTTTAAACATACCTGACCACAGAAACTCGACCTCATTCAACCAAGGAGTTCAAGTGCACTGGAAAATTCTTTTAAAATACACATTCTCTATGAGAACAAGTTCCATATGGAACTAAGAAGGGAAACCAAAGGGATAACTATTTTTTTAAATAATTATTATTTACTGCTTCAATGTAAGCTTCCTGCTACAAAAATTCCAAAACTGTCATTCACAGACAGGTCAAGGTATGTTTTCATACCTTAGAAAGTTCTCAAACTTAGTGGTTTTACAGGTTATCCAGTTTGTAAAACATTTTTTTTTAAGTTCACAGGAGTTGCCAAAGTAGCTTTCCTGAAAACTAAAATCTTCTGTTTCTCAACTAATTTTCATGTCAAATATTCTTTCAACTTCAAAGGACCTATGATTTCATTAATGTGGGGGCTCTTTTCACCATTAGAGATTATATCCCCTCCACACGGGGGTTTAACAATCAGCTCTCTGGGGGGAAAATGTATCATAACATGCTTTTAGGTTTAATCTGCATTACTAACATTTTCTCCACCACTTTTTAAAGTCAAGATGATCAATAAAAGCAAGCCCTGATTTGTGGCACATGCTGATTTCCAAGGTGTACATGTTCACGCTGAAATTTAACACTTTCTTGAGCCATTAAAAGCTGGCTCAAGAATACTTCTACCTATATGCCTCAGGTAGATAGTCCTCAAGGGTCCTATGATCAAAAAAAATTCATCATCATCAGCCAACCTTCTGGTGATAGATAAATGAAGTGAACATGGCCCACAAAAGGTAAAAAAAGTTGGCAGTTATGTCTGGTCAACGTGAGCAAATAACCTGAAAATTTTACTTAAAAAATTCTACACTTTCAACTCAATTATCTATATAAACGATCTTTATAGTTAAATAATTATCTGTATAATCAATCAATCAATAATGTAAAGTTGACCTTAAAAGTGTGGCCATGGTAATGCAGACTTTCTCTTAATTCCCTGCAGAAATGGATGGAAACAGAGCACTCAGATTACAAATGAATAAAATTTAGTACAGTGTAATTGGTTAATACAGTAGTGCTGAAAGTAAAGGAGTCCAAGTTGCTCAGGAAATAAGGTGAAAACAGAAGCAAAAAGCAAAGAATCATCTGCTCTGAAGTTGGTAAGCCTAAGAAGTTGGATATAATTCAGAAATTGGAGAAGCCTCTATTGGGTTGATGTCCCAGTTGAAATTGGCATTTACCTCCTCAATGTTACTACAGTATTGCATTAAGAATGGTGTTCCTAAAAGGAATCATGTGAGCCCACAGAGAAGGGAAAATGATGTCATTTGAGGTCAGAAATACCATTGGTATGACTACAGTAGGTCAGCTGGAAAGATATGAAAGAGAGAAAAGAGGAAAAATGTGACAGTATGTGTCTTTATTTTGGAGAACGAGCAGAAAGAAACATTCACCTTGCTGAGCTTGGATCCCACATGTTCATATTCCAAGAGCTCAAGGATTAACTGATTAATTTAACAATTGATTTTGGGGATTATAGCCTTAAGAACTAACAAGGGAAAGTTGAGTATGACTTTGTGTCTAATGAATTATCTGTTTATAGATTATTAGGAAGGGAAATTTGTATTCTTGATTTAGTACTCTTGGGCCACTTTCTATTTGGGTAATTATAAAGTCCATCCAATTTTTTGACCAAGTTACTTAACCTAAGACCTCTTTGTGCCCACATAAATAATTAGACCAGAACATAATAAATCCCTTATACATAGTATTCATAAAAATGATCTTCATAGAATATTAGAGTTCATAGAAAATTTAAGAATATCTAATCTGACCCTTTTTTTTAATAAGTAATTGAGACCCAAAGAAGTTAAGTGAATTGACCAGAATCACAAAGCTAGAGAGAGGACTCTTTTGAACCCAAGACTCTAGTCCCACCCAGGTTCCCCAATTCCAAATCGAGAAAGAAAAGATTCATAGATGATATCATAAAATTGACCTCATAAAAATACTTATTAAATGATGTTCAATAAGTATCATTGCTGAGTTTAAGGAATTAAAATCTGCAAATACTTCTCAGAATTAATCTCTTCTAAAAAACAAGGCATCTTTTACCATGCTCAATGTTTTTTTTCTCTTGCACTTGGAAGAAAACTTAAAGGCAAACTCAACTTTAACAACTGTACCCTAGAGGCTTCTATATAGCAATTCCAGAGCTGCTCAGAAGGACTATTCTCCAAGAAACTTGTGCTTAAAGGAAAAAAAAAATTGTCTCCTTCTATCTATCCTTCATGGAAACAAAGAAGAGGAAATCCTGCAGCCAGTGGAGGAAAACAGATTCAACTCATGAGCAGTATTTTCAGCCTGAATTTGTACTTGAGAGATACTCGGCCTTTGTTTTGCATAATGCCAATGTGTCAGTTTAAGTTCCAAAATAGCATGTCAGAGCTCTCTCAGAGAACTGAATTCTTCTCCAAAAAATGCTTTCTTTTGAAGAAAAATAAAAGAATTAGTACTAATGGTCTCTTTTCACTTTTTCATCCGGCCAAAAAATTCTTAAACTGGAATTGGTCCTTAGGGTTGTCATGGTGATAAGAGATCAACATATATTAGTTATCTAATATGTGCTGAATCATAGAATGTCAGTTGGGAAGGACCAAGAGGCCATCCTGTCTACCCCACACCTGAATAAGGATCCTCTCTATAATATATCCCACAGTTGGTCATCCAATCTTTGCTTGGGGGCCTCAAGGAAATCTTCTCCTTCCTGAGGCAGTCCATCTCATTTCTTAATAGTTCTAATTGTTCATGGTTTTTTCCTTATATCAAACTTAAATTTGCTTCCACAGTTTCCACCAGTTGTTTCTAGTTCTGTCCCCTAGGACTAAACAAAGCAAGTTGAAT